ACGGCGAGTTGAGTTGATACCAAAGAGCTCCATTTTGGTCTCATCTGACCACAACACTTTCACCCAGTTCTCCTCTGAATCATTCAGATGTTCATTGGCAAACTTCAGATGGCCCTTTATATGTGCTTTCTTGAGCAGGGCGACCTTGCGGGCGCTGCAGGATTTCAGTCCTTCACAGCGTAGTGTGTTACCAATTGTTTTCTTGGTGACTATGGTTCCAGCTGCCTTGAGATCGTTGACAAGATCCTCCCGTGTAGTTCCGGGCTGATCCCTCACCGTTCTCATGATCATTGCAACTCCACGAGGTGAGATCTTGCATGGAGCCCCAGGCCGAGGGAGATTGACAGTTCTTTTGTGTTTCTTCCATTTGCGAATAATCGCACCAACTGTTGTCACCTTCTCACCAAGCTGCTTGGAGATGGTCTTGTAGCCCATTCCAGCCTTGTGTAAGTCTACAATCGTGTCCCTGACATCCTTGGAGAGCTCTTTGGTCTTGGCCATGGTGGAGAGTTCGGAATCTGATTGATTGATTGCTTGTGTGGACAGGTGTCTTTTATACAGGTAACAAGCTGAGATTAGGAGCACTCCCTTTAAGAGTGTGCTCCTAATCTCAGCTCGTCACCTGTATAAAAGACACCTGGGAGCCAGAAATCTTTCTGATTGAGAGGGGGTCAAATACTTATTTCCCTCATTAAAATGCAAATCAATTTATAACATTTTTGACATGCGTTTTTCTGGATTGTTTTGTTGTTATTCTGTCTCTCACTCTTCAAATAAACCTACCATTAAAATTATAGACGGATAATTTCTTTGTCAGTGGGCAAACGTACAAAATCAGCAGGGGATCAAATACTTTTTTCCCTCACTGTAGGACTCGTTTTACTGTGGATATAGATACTTTTGTACCCGTTTCCTCCAGCATCTTCACAAGGTACTTTGCGGTTCTTCTGGGATTGATTTGCACTTTCCGCAATAATAAAAATATATTATTGATAAAACGTATCGGTGCTTATCGGCCATTGGACATAAACATTACACAACAAGTTGGAAATCGCAAATTCAACAATGAGAGATTTGGAAGGAATCAGTGTCTAACTGCAAGCATTGCAAAACAATCACAAGCCTGCTATTCAGTGGGGTGGGTGTGTGGTCCAAGTCTGGGTTTAAGGGTCTCTTTTCTAAGCTTAAAATTATAAACATTCAACATTGGTCATGCTGTCAATCCAGCATGATTTGTGGCCCGCTCAAAACAACTTAACTGGGAAATCTGACTTCAATAAGTTCAAGACAACTGGGAACTCAGGGAAAAAACGAGCTCCGACTGGGAAAATACGTTTTGAATGGTCATCCAACTCTGAATTTGTCAGTCGGGAACTCGGGCCTCTTTCTAGAGCTACGACCTGAAGATCACTGACGTCATCATGATTTGACCTTGTTTTTTTCAGAGTACCCAGTTGTCTTGAAAGCACCATAAATCCAGAGAATGCCTGACTTTAATGACAAAGTTTGATGACAAAATTTGCCCACGAAGGACTGCTGCGCCATCTTCCTGTTCAAGTGAGCACAGCACAACAAGGTGAGTCCAAAAATGTATTGTACGCTGCTGCATAAATGATGCAATATGCCAGGTAGATATGTAAACTGTAGCTAAGAAAGTAATACTAAGTGTATGTTGTGTAGTAAGCTGTTAGTAGCCCATGTGCCTCACCCTAATAATTTGGTCTATTTTTCCCTCTTAATTTCACCCACTGTTCTGTTCTGCACACCACTGTTGTTTTTGTTTGCCCCACCAAGATTTACATGCTAAAATCGCCACTGCAACAGTGGTGTGCAGAAGGACATCTCGGAACGCACAACTCGTTGGTCCTTGTCATGGATGGGCCGACCACACAGGGTTCCACTCCTATCAGCTAAAAACAAGAAGAGGCAGCTCAAGTGAGCACCCGATCACCAACACTGGACTATTGAGGAATGGAAAAGCAATCTGGTCCGACGAATCCCGGTTCCTGTTGCGTCATGCTGAATGCAGTCAGGATTTGGAGTAAGCAGCATGAGTTCATGGCCCCATCCTGCCTGGTGTCAACAGTACAGGCTGGTGGCGGTGGTTTAATGATGTGGGGAATGTTTTCCTGGCACACATTAGGTCTCTTGATACCAATTGAGCAACCTTTCCATGCCCTGAAGAATTCAGGCTGTTCTGGAGGCAAAGGGGGGGAGGGTGGGGTCGACCCAGTACTAGATGGGTGTACCTAATAAACTGTGTATATGAAACACAGGAAAATCTAGTTTTTGACTGCACTGGAAATAGGACAGAAGGCATTGACAGCCCCCATAGACACTACCTGTGTGTGTGTCAGCTGTGTGGTGTGTGTAGTCATATCAGCTCTCTGTTTGTAGATGATCAATGCCAAAGGCATCTTAATCACCAGAGACACAGGCAAGGTAAATATGATTAGACAATATGCTTTTTCTAGGTTTTTAACTAGGAGATACTCACACAAAGAAAAATAAACATGACTTGCTTGTCCACATTTTTTATTTATTGACAATTAAATATAGAAACATCATTACTAGGTCAAAGTACTTTCCCTAAAATGGCAGTCTTATTGTGACCACAGATAGCAATGCACTGTTGTCACTGTATATTATCATATTGACACAGATTGCAATACACTGTGTTGTTATTCTGCACATATCAAGAGACAAATGTTTTTTCCTGGAGTCAAAAGGGAAACAGAGCACTTCAACCACCTCTAACAACTACCTCTAAAGTCACAGAAAACACAGTCAGACAATAATCAGTTTCCAGACGAGGTTAGACCACAAACTTAAGTGACTTATTGTAAACCAGGAATGCGTTAAGTAGGCACGAAATGTATCAGTAACCGCAAGGTGGTACTACCTGAACTTCTTCAATAAGAACGCTAGTTTCCGCCCGTTTCGTTTTAAAACATGTTCTCCTCCTCCCTACTTCATCATGACCCTGGACTCCATGCAGTATACTCTAGAGAAACCAAAAGTTAACACTGTTGCTGGAGATCCAAGTGCCTCTCCCATATAGCCTTGGGTGGGGAGGAGGGGAGAGTCAGTCGTCTGCGTCCCAAATGGCACTCTATTCTCTTTATAGTGCACTTTTGTCCAGGGCCGCAATGGGAAACCCATAGGGCTCTGGACAAAAGTAGTGTACACAGGGAATAGTATGTAGTAGTGCACTACATAGAGAATAGTATAAAAAAGTTTGCACCCACTACTGTAAGTCGCTCTGGATAAGAGTGTCTGCTAAATGACTAAAATGTAAATTTGGGATGCACACTACAGTGTGTGGTTGGAGCCTGCAGGGTTGGTCTCCATGACGTGTTTGTGACCAATTTGTAAGTCGCTCTGGATAAGAGCGTCTGCTAAATGATGTAAATGTAAATGTGTCACAGCAGAGGCCCAAGCCAATTAACAAGCACCCTAGAGATTGAACCTGCTCAGTGCCGATGCCCTCACAGGGGAATGAGGCTGACTGGGGCTGGAGGCATTAAAACAGATATTGTACAGAGAAAGACCCACACACAGCACACTGTTAGCAGCTAGCTAATCATAAATCACTATTAAACATGTGGTATATTGAGGCATTACTTAAATCTTATATCCATTAATGTAGAGGCCTAGCAGGGGAATGAGTCTGACTGGGGCTGGAGGCGTACAAATAGATACACTGACACACAGCTAGATAGCTAATCATCATGGCTATCTACTGAACATGAGATATGTCTTCTCTTGACCAGAGAGAGGGTGAATATCAATAAATGGAGAATAAAGATTGAGGCCCTCACAATGGAATGAGTATGGGGCTATAGGCATGGAGGCAGCATACAGATACACCCACATCACACTAATGCTAGCAGCAAGCTAATCATGACTCACTACTGAACATGTGGTATATTGAGGTATTAATTCCTCATTTGGTGAAGACGTCATCTTATATCCATGAATGTAGAGCCCTCACAGGGGACTGACAACTTGGGCTGGAGGCATCACACAGATACAGATACACCCACATAGACACAGCACACATCTAGCTATGTAATACATAGCTAATGTTACCTAATACAAGAGTATTACTTCACCATTTGGTCAACTAAAGTAATCTCATGTCCATGAATGTAGAAATGAGTGAAAATGTCATGAAAGGAGGGGTTGTAAAGTGATTTCAATGTGATTCGAGTGTGTGAGCAAACTGTACAAACTAAAGAAACCAAGTGTCTCATCAATCAGTTCAGGTTACCACTTTTAAACATTTCAATAGTGCTTAGTTGCATGTGCTTTAGACCATTTTACTGACATAGTGGTTGTCCATAGTTCTAATATAGGCTTTTCTTACTGTACACAAATAGACGCACCTGAATCTAAAATATCAAGGAATGGCTTTACTATCATTATAACCCTATTTGGCATAATACATTATCCTGAGACTACATGGAGACTCAAATGAAGCAGTACCCTACTGCTCTCCTTAATACCGTTCCCAGCATTAGGAAGTCTCTTGGTATTCTTGGAGATGGTTAATTGTTCAAAGAATGTCATCACTGCAATGGTGTCTGACATCCTGATTAATGTGTGAGGGAGGCTACCGTGGAGCTGTGCCGGAAAGACTTACAGGAAAATATGTTGCCAAAGCACAGTCACTTCGTCAGTGTTTCCCAATGTGCGCGATGCCCTCCATACCCTCCCGAGTCCCTAGCGGTGCCCTAAGTAATAGTGAGAAATAGTGGGCATACATGCTCATATCACTATTTCACACGGAGGCGTGTGGGCCGCACAAACTCCACCCGTCCCCGCTACTAACAATGCAATGCTAGCTAGCTAATGAAGACTGTGGTGTTGCAGGTCTTTGGAAGAGAGTGATGATCCACATTTAAAACATGTCAAAACCCTGTGAGAGTTTCAAGGGAGTCTGAGACATTCTTTGTGGCCCTATAAAAGCCACAGGTCGATCTGAGAGACCGTCAGTACAGTAGCAAGGTGGGCCAGCCAGCAAAGAAAGAGAACACAAGAGGCCTTCCAATCCTTTTTGGTGGAACTGGAACTATACTCAAACAAAATCTGATTCTAGAACACACTTTGTAACACACTGAGAACCAAACATGAGAGGAGCTTCCTATTCCCAGAAATCCCAGTCACTGCAGGTGAGTGGCTCTCGAAGCAGTATGCGGGTCCAAAGCCCCTCTCCCTCCCGGTGCCGTGGTTCCTCGTACAACAACAGAGGACGGTCCGGATACCAGGGTGGCAATGCGTCCTCCGCCGTGGAAGTCGGCACAGAGATACACCAGCAGCATGCCAACGAGAAGGAGGAGATGCAGGAGCTGAACGTGAGGTTCGCCGGCTACATCGAGAAGGTTCAGGTCCTTGAACAGAGGAACGCCCAGCTGACTGCCGAGCTCGCCGCGCTACAGGGCCGCTTCAAGGGAGGCCCCACCGGCATCGGAGAAGAGTATGATCTCAAGTTCAAGGAGATGAGGGAGTTGATCGAAGCCTTGACCAATGAGAAGGGAGCTGCTGATATCGAGAGGGGATACATTGAGGAGGAGGAGGAGGTGTGGAGGCTGAAACTGGAAGAGGAGCAGGCACTGAAAGGTATGGTCCCAGTCCCACACTGACCACTGGCTGGAGAGATCTGCTGATCTCGATCGTCTCCTATATTGACATTATTGTATGATGATATAAACCTAATTGTAGATAATATAATGTACTATTGTTTCCATGAAGAACACAGGATTTCTAGCTTTCCTTTTATTCCTTGAAGAATCAAAATTGTCAAATTTGACTACACAATGTTTCTAGGCATACCTTTGGTTGATTGAGATCGCTTGTACTCGTAGGGTTGTATGATCAGCCAACGTTTTGTCTACATACACCAAGTGAACCTGATCCCAATACTATAATAACATTGTTGCTGTAATGTTTTAACCCATCTACTCATCTCCCCCGTTTGTCCATCTCCAGAGGAGGCAGAGATGATCTTGAGGGAGTTCCGTCAAGACGTAGACAATGCCACCCTGCAGAAGGCGGAGCTTGAAAAGCGTGTCGAACAGCTGGTGGCCGAGATAGAGTTCCTCAAGAAGCTTCACGACGAGGAAGTCGCTGACCTCATGAAGCAGATCGAGGACTCCAAGGTGACTGCGGAAATTGATGGCGACCGACCAGACCTGGCTGCATACCTGCGCAACATGCGCGCCGAGATCGAGTCTGTGGCGGACAAAAACGTACAGGAAGCCGAGAAGTGGTACAAGGGCAAGTTCGAAACTCTCAAAGAAGTTGCTGGCAAGAAAGAGGAGCAGATGAAGTCGATTAAAGAAGAGATCATCACTTTCCACAACCAGGTGACAGACCTCCAGAACCAGATTGATGGGCTGAGGTCACGCAACATGGCCCTGGAGCAGCAGCTGGAGGACATGGAGATGGCCCACATGGATAAGGTCGGAAGCCTGGAGGGCATCATTGCCCAGCTGGAGAACCAACTCTGCGAGACCAAGCTGGAGATGGGCAAGTACCTGGCCGACTACCAGGAGCTGCTGCACATCAAGCTGAAGCTGGACGCCGAGATCGCCGTCTACAGAAAGCTGCTGGAGGGAGAGGAGAGCAGGCTGGGGATATCGGCAGGGAAAGAAGCTTAAGGTGGGTTGGTCACCGATGGATGGGTAACACTAGTGTCCTCTAAGTGGTGCTTTGACGTAGAGCATGAGTTATAGTGAAAGTTGTTTGACTGACTGGCTTTATGGCTTGTTGCGAGGCTAAGCCTTAAAGGAAAATGTGTTGAGATCAGAAAATTATTCTAATATATACTTGCAACACCAAAGCACTGTTCACACTTTCAACACAGCAGAACTAAAACATTTATTATATTTGTAGGTGTCTAAATATCATTCCAGACAGAGAACTTCTAATAAAAAGGTACCCACCATATATATTTAATTTCCATAGTCACTTTCAATTGTGCCGTTTACTATCTGTCTCTATGTACACTGATTCATTCCTCCATATGAAACCTGTTTCTCCTCCATGTAGGAGCGGTCACAGAGAGGACCACCTCAGTGTGGAGACCCACACAGCTGCCAGACTGACCGCCTGAGCCCCCTACAGTCTCTCCCACCCGTCAGCCCTCCCAGACTTACCTGTCCCTGCCAACTTCTCCCTCCACTACCCCATCTCCTCCCGTCCAACCTCCCCCACCCACCCCTTTCAACCCCCCCCCACTGAGGCCCTCAGCACTCTACCTTCTCCCCAAGTCCTACCCATCACACCTTCCGCTCCCCCAACCGGCCCTTGTCATCCATCCCCCCCAGTCCTGCCTGACCCTGTCAACCTCTCTCCAACGTCGAAGCACCCTTCTCCTGTATGGTTAACTCCTCAAACAAAAACATCCCCTTTATTTTAATTTAAACCCCGTGACCCACCCCCATTTTATGTAAGATAACTAAAGACGTTTACATAAATGTACACCAACTACTACATAATAAATAAAGCTTGACTTGAGTTCATACAACTGCTGTGGTTTGTTTCTGGTAATAATTTTTAATCTCTTAATAGTTTCCATCTAAAATGATGACTGGGTTTATTGTCAGAGATGTAGGATCTCTCAACAACCTTGTATTAGAATAACCAAAATCTGACTAGAAATTGTTACTGCACTCTGAAATGTGGTGAAACGCTAAAACATTTGCGCTCAGACTAAATGAAAGCAACAAATACAATGATGTTTATTACTTTGAACAAATGCATACCGGTATATATATTTTTATGTACATGGTAAGATTACACCAAGTCAACCAGGCTGGTCTCAGACTAGACTTAACATAGTAAACGTAAATCCAGGACACTGAAATTAGTATGATATGTGTAACCATACCAAACATAACATAAGACGGGTCACTTAAAGCAAAACTAAAGTAGGGTGCTTGGGTGTGCGTATAACGCAAACATCTAGCAACCCAAAGGTTGCATGTACGAATCTCATCACGGACAACTTCAGCAACTTTCAACTACTTTGCAACTACTTAACATGTTAGCTAACCCTTCCCCTAACCCCAACCCTTTTAACCAAACTCCAAGCCTAGAGAATGTAAGCCACAACTAATTTGAATTTGTAACATACGTTTTGTAAATTCTTAACATATTGTAGGTTTAGCAAATTAACTTTTTGCAATTCGTAATTTATCATACGAATTGTAATTCATAACATACAAAATGTAACATACACTAAATGGAGTGTATTGGATTTACGTACAGAATAATACGAAATGCTCTGAGACCAGGTTGAGTCAACGCAAAGATTATTGGGACAAAGGAAGAACATTTGCATTGGATTCCATTTCAGGTATAACAAATTGATATTGCATATCCTTGAACCATTGTGGTGACAAGTTGACACCTCAAAATGTATAGAACATATTTTTCATGATAGGCGGAGTGGCGAGTCAATAACATCAAAACCATGAGCATTCTATACACACTGGTTAGAATGAAGTGGCTCAATAAATATCAACCAACAAAACATGCATGTTGTTCTCAGCAATTTTATTCAACAATGTTGAAAACAAAAGGATAATAGAAAATACTACAAAGTTTGTAACTGACAATACAAAGCAGTTCTGAATAGGTCAGTGTCTGCTGTTCTTCCTCCTCTTCAGAGCCTTCCACTCTCCCTCCTGGGTGGCCAGACTGCCAAACAGTTCCTTCACCTTCCTCTTCCTCTCCGCATCCCTACACACAAAGAGGGAAGCAAAAAAACATCAGGTCATCTGCACATGTAAGAAGTCCATATATTTTCAAGTATTTTTTAATAAAAAGAACAGTGGTTAAGCGGGGGATTGTAGAAAGGTGAAGGGCACAGAAGGGAAAGTGGCCAAGGTGGGGCTCAAATACCCTTCGCCAAGGGGTATGTAGTCAGGAGTTGGCAGTGCTACCACTAGACCAGACTGGTATGTGTTTTAGTGATAAGTGTATGTATGTGATGTCATACAGACCTGCCCATGACCTCATTGAGTTTCTCTCGGGCCAGGAAGCGGGTGTCTTTACGGATCTCTCTCAGAGCTCCCTTGAACTCTTTCTTATACTTGTGGTTCAACCTTTCCTTCTCCCTCTCCTCCTTTGTGTTCCCTCGCTTCTTCCCATAGTCCAGCCTGGAATTGAGAGAAGGTTTACAAAATGACTTATGAAGGTGACACTACAGGGGAACATATTTATTTTGTACTCTAATTTTCATAAGAGTTTGTTATACATAAATTAATTCAGTCTCACAATCTTTCTTCAATCTTTGATGTAAGCCAAATGGGTGCATGTGACACTACAAGGGAATACAATCCTTCTCTATCTTAATCTTCAGAGGGGTAATGCTACACAAATAACTGAATTAAGATGAGTCTCACTCACGCTACAATGTTTGGTGTAAACAACTTGAGGGGAATGGATTGAAGATGACATTACAAGGGAATACAATCACTTTCTTTTCCTTTCTTTTTCTCCACACAAATAACTGAATTTAGAGGTTTCACTCACACTTCTACAATCTTTGGTGTGAATAGTTTGAGGGGAATGGGTTTCTTCTTCTCAAACACCAGGAGAGGATGTGACGTCAGGGAACCGGATATGGCCGCAAGGATTTCTCCATGAAGCTCCTGGGACAAGAAGATAAAAGAAAAGTGTTCAATATTAGAGCATATATTAGAAAAGCTAAAGCATACAATTAACATCAATACTGAACCAGATGAAAGGTTGAATGTTAAGAAAATATTACGCTAAAACAGTTATCATACACACTGAATCAGCTTGAAGCAAATTTAAAATCAAATGTCATTTATGAAGCCATTTTTACACCCAACAGTGACAACGGGCTTTACAGCTACCCGGCGTAGAAGATTGTACCGTTTTCAGATACATTTCAACATGTATTAAAAAACACCTGTACAAAAACACCATGTGTTAGACAACTTGCACGTCAACAAATCCTACATCAATTGCAACTAGTGGTGAAATAGTGAGCATTTCTGTGAGGGTAAGCAGCTGAACTGAGACAATGTTCTATTGCAATAAGCATCTTGCTAGCCTGTGTGAAGGTCATTCATATACTGCTTTACCCCTATTCCCATACCAATACAGTGAGGGAAAAAAGTATTTGATCCCCTGCTGATTTTGTACATTTGCTCACTGACAAAGAAATGATCAGTCTATAATTTTAATGGTAGGTTTATTTGAACAGTGAGACAGAATAACAAAAAATCCAGAAAAACACATGTCAAAAATGTTATAAACTGATTTGCATTTTAATGAGGGAAATAAGTATTTGACCCCCTCTCAATCAGAAACATTTCTGGCTCCCAGGTGTCTTTTATACAGGTAACGAGCTGAGATTAGGAGCACACTCTTAAAGGGAGTGCTCCTAATCTCAGCTTGTTACCTGTATAAAAGACACCTGTCCACAGAAGCAATCAATCAGATTCCAAACTCTCCACCATGGCCAAGCCCAAAGAGTTCTCCAAGGATGTCAGGGATAACATTGTAGACCTACACAAGTCTGGAATGGGCTACAAGACCATCGCCAAGCAGCTTGGTGAGAAGGTGACAACAGTTGGTGTGATTATTCGCAAATGGAAGAAACACAAAATAACTGTCAATCTCCCTCGGCCTGGGGCTCCATGCAAGATCTCACCTCGTGGAGTTGCAATGATCATGAGAACGGTGAGGAATCAGCCCAGAACTACACGGGAGGATCTTGTCAATGATCTCAAGGCAGCTGGGACCATAGTCACCAAGAAAACAATTGGTAACACACTTTGCCGTGAAGGACTGAAATCCTGCAGCGCCCGCAAGGTCCCCCTGCTCAAGAAAGCACATATACAGGCCCGTCTGAAGTTTGCCAATAAACATCTGAATGATTCAGAGGAGAACTGGGTGAAAGTGTTGTGGTCAGATGAGACCAAAATGGAGCTCTTTGGCATCAACTCAACTCGCCGTGTTTGGAGGAGGAGGAATGCCTATGACCCCAAGAACACCATCCCCACCGTCAAACATGGAGGTGGAAACATTATGCTTTGGGGGTGTTTTTCTGCTAAGGGGACAGGACAACTTCACCGCATCAAAGGGACGATGGACCTTAATCCCATAGAAAATCTGTGGAGGGAGCTGAAGGTTCGAGTTGCCAAACGTCAGGCTCGAAGCCATAATGACTTGGAGAAGATCTGCAAAGAGGAGTGGGACAAAACTGTGTGCAAACCTGGTGGCCAACTACAAGAAACGTCTGACCTCTGTGATAGCCAACAAGGGTTCTGACACCAAGTACTAAGTCATGTTTTGCATAGGGGTCAAATACTTATTTCCCTCATTAAAATGCAAATCAATTTATAAAAATGTTTACATGCGTTTTTCTGTCTCTCACTGTTCAAATAAACCTACAATTAAAATTATAGACTGATCATGTCTTTGTCAGTGGGCAAACGTACAAAATCAGCAGAGGATCAAATACTTTTTTCCCCTCACTGTATATATACACACACACTCATACAGTGGGGAAAAAAAGTATTTAGTCAGCCACCAATTGTGCAAGTTCTCACACTTAAAAAGATGAGAGAGGCCTGTAATTTTCATCATAGGTACACGTCAACGATGACAGACAAATTGA